GCCCCTGAGCCTCTAGCCTGTACCCCGGTTCTGTATGTACAAATAAAAAAAAAAAAAAAAACTTTAAAAAACTGTGTATAAGAACACAAATTACCCAACAGTTCATCAGGATAATGCAGCAATGCCCACAGTCAGATCAATAACCAGTACCACACTATAAGAAAACAGGTTGAGCATTAAAGCTCTTTATAAAAGAAATACGAACAAAATGACCTTTCTTCCTTATTTTGGCTTTAAGTTTTAATTTTTATTGTATTACATATTAACATGATGACAAGTTTTAAAGTACAAATAGTTACATGTTTATTTTTTGGTCTACCCTCAAAGTAGGCCATAGCAAAGGTTAGTCTCAATTTTTGCCACTAGAGGTAATTTCCTACTTATGTGCCCAGGAAATACCTTCTGGCATTCTTTATTTTTTTTTTTTTAAGATTTATTTATTTATTCATACAGAACTGGGGTACAGGCCAGAGTTGCGGAGGGTGAGAGGATTCACCAGAGACGGAGTAGGGAGCAGAACAGGCAGATCATGAAAGTACACTGCTGAGGGGAGCAGCGGGTGGGTCAGGAGAGGTCTGCCTCGCCATGTGGTCACCTCCGGGGCAGGCGGGAATCGAACTCATGCGGAAGTGGCTTTAGATTCTCAGTGCTGTGCTTTAACCCGCTGCACCACCAGGGAGGGCCGCATTCTTTAATTTTAATTAAATTCATTTGTTTGTTTGTTCTACATCATTCTTCATTTTGTAGATTTTTTCATCTTAGTTGTAATCCTGGTGGGATTCCCACAACCAATTCACCCATGTGCCATCACCATAGGCCCATGCACTCTTCCCACTCCAGTTTTGATCCCAGCCCCTCTCCTCCACTGTAGAAGATCTTTCTAAAAGCATTTTTAAATAGCCACGACTAATAGTGATCAAGAAACACAAAATAATAACATTTTCACCTATCAAACTGATTTTTTGTCCTAACAATAATGCTTAGTGTTTGACAGTGCAGGTAAATGAAACCTGATACATTGCAGCTAAGACTGACAATAGTATTTAAGAGCAACTTAGCAGTAAGTATCAAAAGCCAAGTCTCCTTCTAATAATTTAACCAAATGAAATTATGAGATATAGGCTCAAAGATGTACAAAGGTATTTTACTACCAGATCTCATCCTGCCAAAAATTTTGAAGCAAACTAACTGTAAAACATTTATGATAGTCATAAAACATTTAATGTTTAAAAATTAAGAGGAAAAATCTAACACAAAACAAGCTATAAAACATGTTACAATTTTTCTATTTTGTTTGTTTGTTTATTTTTACATCATTCTTCATTTTGTGCCATTTTTCATCTTGGTTGTAATCCCACTGAACTTCCCACCACCAATACACCATATGGTGTGTCCCATAACTGTAGTGCACCTTTCCCACTCCATTTTTTATTCTATTCCCCACCAGAAGAATGTTCCCAAAATAGTAACAGGATAATAAGCTTAAGAACTTACATTATTTTCATGCATTTCTTACATAATTAAATATAAGTAATATTCTTTACCTTTTTAAAAGCCAAGAATATGTGACCTTAAGAAAAGAACAGTGGAGAATATCTGATCTTTGCTAAAGACATGAACTATCTTATTACTCAGCAAACTATGACTGCCATGTGACCAGGTTCTAGAACTTCATTCACCAACTTTTATGTCTCACTGATGGGTGAGCTTAAGTTCCACTTTTTTTCATACGCTTCCTCAAGTATATACCAGTCTCTTTCTCCTCTAGAATCTTGGCAGTAATTAAGAGTACATCCATTACTTTTTATTTGAGTACCACTTTTTTTAGTACAATATAATTGCTCTAATGGAGGTATTATACAAGGCAGCTGTGCATAAAGAAGGGAGCAGGGAGGAGTCAGCTGACCCCAAGATCAGGAATTGGAATTTGCCATCTAGATAATATTGATACCAGATGGCAATACATAAAGAGGGGGAAAGTACATTACTTGGAAATCCTTTAGTGCCTCTTTCTACACCACCAGATAACACTCTACTCTCCTCTTTATTCCTCACTATACCTTTACACTGTATTTATTTACATATACATATTCCCTTCTCATCCCCCATAGAATGTCTCTGGTTTATAGTTGTTAGTTGATTTTAGTTTTTACCTTATTATAATTACTTTTTTTTTTCCTAGTCTCTTACACTCCTGCTATGAGTGAGACCATCCAATATTTTCCTTTTCTTTTTGGCTTGGTATTTTTCTTTTTCTTTCTGGCTTATTTCACTAAGCATGATCCCGTCCAGCTCCATCCATGTTGCTGAAAAAGGCATAAGTATCTTTTTTGATCACTGAGTAATATTCCATTGTGTATATGTACCACATCTTCTTGATCCAGTCATCTATTTTTGGGCATATGGGTTGATTCCACATCTTCCCTATTGTAAATAGGGCAGCAATAAACAAAGGGGCACAGGTGTCCCTTTGAATTGATGTTTTTGTGTCCTTTGGGTAGACACAAAGGAGTGGAATTGCTGGATCATACGGAAGCTCCATTTTTTGCAGTTTGAGACACCTCCACTGAGGTTGTACCAGTCTGCATTCCTACCAGCAATGTACGAGAGTTCCTTTTTCTCCACATTCTCACCAAAATTTGTAGAAGACACAAAGAAATGGAAAGACATCCTATGCTCATACATTGGAAGAATTAACATTATTAAAATGGCCATCATACCAAAAGCAATTTATAGATTCAATGCTATTCCAATAAAAATTTCAATGACATTCTTCAAAGAACTAGAACAAATACTTATGAAATTCATATAAAGCAACAAAAATACTCAAAAGCCAAGGTTCTCCTGAATAAGAAAGGGAGTGGAGGTATCACATGCCCAGGTTTCAAACTATACTACAAAGCTATAATAATCAAAACTCCATGGCACGGGAACAAGACCAGACATACAAACCAATGGAATTGAATAGAAAACACAGATATAAGCCCACAGCTTTATGGACAGCTAATCTTTGACAAAGAAGTAAAGAATATTCATTGGAACAAAGAAATTCAACAAATGGTGCTGGGAAAAGTAGGCTGCTACATGCCAAAAAAAAAAAAAAAAGGCAGTTAGATTACTACCTTGTACCATACATAAAAGCCAACTCCAAATGGATTAAAGAATTAGGCAAAATACCTGAAACCATAAAATATGTAGAAGAAAATATTGGCAAAACACTACATGACCTACTCCTCAGTAACATCTTTAAAGATATATCAGCCAATGCAAGGATATTGAAGGAAAGGATAAACGACCAGGATTACATCAAACTAAAGAGCTTCTATAGAGCAACAGAGACAAACAAAAGAGACATTCCAATGATTGGGAGAAAATTTTTGCACACAATACTAATGATAAAGGGCTGATCACAAAGATACATAAAGAGCTGGCAAAACTCAATAAAGTAAACAGCCCCATCAAAAAGTGGGTAGAAGAGCTAAAAAGACACTTCTCCAAAGAGGAAATGCAGATGGCCAACAAGCATATGGAAAAAAATGTTCTCTTTTTATCTGCCCTGATGACCCTTATGACCCTTCTCACCTCTTCACACTAAAAAAAAAAAAAAAAAAAATCAACAAGTTTGTAAGAATGGTTTGTAAACTAAGAGTAACTAGGCAAAGAACAAAGTGTTTAAACAACTCTCTTGAGAATGAATTTTCCAAAAGTCCATGACCTTTGAATCACTTGCTTTACTTTGAATCACTTACTTTACTTTAGTAGCTTTCAAAGGATTTTTTTTTTTTCTGACACCCAAAGATTTGACAGACTTTGTAGAAATTTGGTCTTCCCAAGGGTAGATTTCAACATCTTGTTAGAGCAAAGATTTTTTTCTTCCCCAGTTTCTTCCAAGTGACTAACTATATTCTAGAGACTTGAAGATGCTGGATCATTTCAATAATATAATTAATCTCTATAATATCCCATAGTGAAATTCTGAGATATAAATGTAACAATACATAACCCTCAACACAATGATTCATAAGTTAATTGTTGCCTCTGCTGTTAACCTTCTCTTTCTTATTAATAATAGTATATTAAAAGTGATTACTTGTGTAATTGTACTATGGAATTTCAAGTACTATGCTAGGTACTATGTAATTTATAACCCTCTCACAAATGTGTATAGAAAAAAATAGAATCATCATTTTCTAAATAAGAAAACAGGCAAAAAAGAGTTAAGTAATGTTCCCCAAGATCCCAGAGCTAGGAGATACTGGAACAAGAATTCAAATCTGGGTATTTTACTCCAAACCACCCCCTCTTCCCACTCTGCAAGCACTTTCTCATCATATTGCTTCTACTAAACAGCAACTCTGATAATATTACGTTTCATTTCTCCAATGAAGACCAAAACAAACAAAAGGTCAAGAAAAAGACAAAACCTGCAAGTCGACAATAGATCTGAGGCATACAACAAGGGAGCAGGGGTCAAAATGGGGGTGATATGGTGGTGGGAGAACTACAGGGGCTACACCTGAAAGGAGAAACCTATTACTATACAAAATAAACGACATAAGAAAATATGTGAAGACTAGAATGATACTTATTATAATTCAGATCTCTCAAGCAGACTTAATGTACTTTTGCACCTGATTTAAAAATCCATCAAAGAAGCAACATGAAACATTAAAAGTACTAATACTTTTAATGTTTGCTTCTTTAATATAGTAAATGTAGTAATACAACTTTTGCTAATTTTACAGAGGTTTACTCCAATGCACCTGTGAAGAGCCCAAGTACAATGCATCTGGCCAAGCTGTTAGAGCCTTAGTTCAGAGACCAAATCGTATAGACATGGCCCATACCCCAAGACTCATTTATGTTAAACTATATGGAGTTGTTGGTGAAAATTGGAAGCAATGATTATCAAGTTATCAAGGTACTTAAAACATTCTGAACAGCAAAAAAGATTCCATGTTTCAAAAAATGTGTTTTTGATCTGAAAGTAAGATTCCTACCTCTCGGTCCTTGAGCTTCATGGCAAGCACCAACTGATGCCTGTGGTTAGTGAGAGCCTCTCGGTAATTTCCTTTGGAGAAGAATGCAGAACCCAGATTCCCATGAGCTCGGCATTCACCTGTCTGGTCACCTAATTGGATTTCAAAAAATATAAAAACATTAAAAAAGTTCTTAGTTTAATGTTATTTATAACATTCACCTTCATTAAAGAGCCACAGATTTTAATTAAGATTTCTCCTGCCTTCTTTCAAGGAAATATTTTGTTCTTCTATAAGACTAAATCGGCCATGTTTGTGTGACCTCACTGTTCTGTGAGCAACTTCTGACCAGTCATTTGTGTGTGTGTATGTGTGTGTGTGTATTGATTCTTTACAAGTATGCTGATTGTATATTTGCCATTTGCCCTGTCTTTCTGCAATCCTACAAGTCCTTAAATTATCGCTGAAGTGATAATCATAATGACAAGCCATACTTATTTTACAAATGAGGAAACAACAGCACAGAGAGGTTAGGCAACTTGCTGCGTATCACACAGCTAGAAAGTAGCAGCTAAACTCAGCAGTCTGGTTCCATTATGTATATTTTTAACCACTACATCGTACTGTCTTCTCCAAGGATATAATGATACATTCTAATATAGACAAAAATTGAAATTGAGATGAACAATTTATCAACCAATAATATGACTTAGGTTAAATATCGCTCTCTCTGAAGAGAGCAATAAATCTGTTATTCCACACCTCTTGACCTTTTGGGGTCTTAGAACTTGGTTATATGAAAAGTCATTTTTCACTTCATACACTATTCCCATTCATATCCAGTCAATAAGCTTTGTTTATTTACTATCTGCATTGAAATAAAGGAGAGAAATGTAACCTACCTAAGGTCTTGGCTACATCCAAGTCCTGCTGCATGTAACCAGTGCTCTTCTCTGTGTTCCCAAGAGACCAGTAAGCACTGCTCAGGGCAGAGAAAACGGAGCCTCTCAGTTTGAGACTGCAGGTGCCAATCTTCAGGGCAGCTTCTAAGACAACCACAGAGGCCCCATGATGGCCAGCTGTCAGGAGTTCCTGCCCTACCACAGATACAACCACAAAGGGACTCTTGTCCAATTTCATTTTCTGAAGCTGCTGATAAGTAGGCTCGAGAGAGTCTGAAGAAAAACAAAAGATAATAAAATGTAAAATAATAAACAAAACTATCTTTTCTAAACACTCTAGAAACAAATGCATATCATCTTTCTATGTCCCATTTCAACCACAAGTTCTTAACTTTTAATCTAGGCACCACCCTCACTGTCTACTGACCCATGTTACTCTATCACCAACCTCCATCTAGCAATTTCCTTGTCCCTGCTATATATGCATATGCCACACTCTTTCTTCTGTTCTTTCTTGGACCATGATAAGCTACTCTCCTAAATAGTTCTCCCTACTCTGCCCTCTAAAAATATTATCAGCACATTCCTCAGTCCCACCTCTACTATCAAATATCCTTAGGCCCTCCAGTCACATTTTAAAATCTAAACTTCTGCTGCATTTTATAATTAGCATTGCACAATTTAGCACTTAAGCATTTTAGAATTGTCCCATACATGTTAGTGTTCTACATATTTTCCCAGCAAAATTAGAAGACCATTAAAGATTTGTTTAATACTTATTATAACCCCATAGCCACTGGTTACTAAATTACCATACAAAGTGAAAGTTACAACCACATTTGGTGTTCCATGAATGTTTGTTAAACATGAATCTGAATGGATGATTAATAAACTGTGTACATCACTTTCCCTAGAAGATGTAATAATGAAGCTCTCCTAACAAAGCCCTACCTATCACCCTCACTGACAACCCAATATATATCCTTTGTTGCTTCTGAGACCAGTATGATCAAATAAAAACATCATTATCAATTTTTGTTGTGGTAATAAATGAAACCATAGGAAATCATCCAAGTTTAAAGGTAAGATGGAAGGCAAAATTAATGATTTTCTCATTTTATTTTCAGATGGTGTTTGGAAACACAATGATTAGGGGTCAGGAAGTCACAAGGGCACGCTTTCCATGTGAACCTAGGTCTGAATGTGAATGACCTCTAGTTTCCTTCTCCCTTTTTAAAAAAAGACAACTGCAGAGTTAATGAATATAATGCCACAATGATATAGCACTTATAATAAATACATTTGCTGTTAGCTTTCCTGAAAACTATTTCACATTAGTTACCGCACTATGCATATGTAAAGAACTATAAAAAGGTTGGTCTCTTTAAATCGTGAATCTCTCATCCAATGGTACTACATTAAAATGTAATTTTTACAATTTATGACTTTGAATCTCAACTCACCACTAAGGAGCTCTCATCTGGATCAACATTACCACAAAAACCTCAAAACCCAATGGTGCCTAAAGCGTTTTTTGCCTTCAATAAGATCACTAAACAGAGAACAAAGAACATTTTTACACCTGTCAAGATGCAAGCAGCGCATAGTCCCAGTAAATAGTAGCTAACCAATAGGGTTAAATACAGGCACAAGAACCCAGGAATTGCTAGAATAGAAAAGGACAATACCATACTGAAACACTGTGAGCAGAATTTTGGCGGTACCCACTAATGGATTTGGCAGCTAATGATGATCACATTAGCATCCCACTGGCCAATTAGCAGAAGCAAAAATAACAGGATTTAAAGCTAAAGCGACTTTAAATATTCCTTGTTTTGGAAATGAAGTATCTGAATATGTAAGTACTTCACCCCATTTCAGACAGCCTGGGACAGAGCCACAATAAGAACCCATTACAGGACTTGTAGTGCCAGGTCTAAGATACTATATTCTTAGTTGCTAACAAAAGAAACCAAACTTGACTGGTTTTAAGCATAAAAGATATGAACTAAGTAGGGGAAAGGTAGAAAATGTCAAAATTATGCCACAAAAGCTTTCCTGAAAAGGCAACGTAACTGATGCAACTGAACAAATGATACCACAATGCTGCCACTACCACTACCAAATGTTCCCCTCCCCCTGTAAAATGAATGTCACTACAGCACCACAACTACAAAGCAAACTCTGGGCTATCATTTCTTCTTCTTTGAACCTTTAACACCTAATTCAATGTTGGGGGCCTAGCTGCAAAGAAGGATTAGAAAGTTAAGATGTATTGTCTTCAGCTTCTTTAGTGGAAGGCAGGAAGACAAGAGAATAAGACAGAGAATTTCCAAAACTTAAGAGAATTCAGATACCAACAAATGACACCACCAACACTAAAGACTGATGACCAGAAAAAATGCTGCGCTTCAGCTGGTGATTTTTTTAAGCATAGTAACCAATGCTAAGAAAGATAGATAATAGAGATAAACAGACAGACAGACATATGAAGTCACCTAATTGACTCTCTACAACTATGTAATAGTAGGAAAAAAAAAAAAAGACTCCCAAAAGAGAAAGAACTCCTTGCTTATACAAATTTTCATTAAATAAAAACTAAACTGAAGGAGCAAACAGTAAATTATCAAAATTCCATTTGCTGCATATAGGAAAAAGAATATAAATAAGAGAGAGAGGATAGAAATTATGCTTTTAGTGATGAACTTAATGCAGTATATATAAATGTTCATTTATAATAATGCACAACTGAAACATTTATAATGCTATTCAATAAAAAATTAAGATAAGCTAAAATGGAGGCTAGTATACAGAATATGTTCTAAGAGTTTGGGAAAGGAAAGATTATCAATGGCAATCAGAAAACTTCATGGAATGCAGAATCTGATTCACTGAACAAAGGATTCAGACAAGTCTGCTTTTATTCTGAAAGTGGAGGTTATTAAAGGCAGAAATTTTCTTCTAAAAGGTGCCAAAAATTAAGTATGGAGAATGATAGGGAATGTTGAACAGGACACTGTGAATGGACCAGAGAATATTTATAAAGAAGAGAGTAGATATGAAATATTGAGAAAATAAAGTTAATAATAAAGAAATAATGGGGAAAATAAAAAGATCTGAATTTCAGAGCCACCAAGTCTCCAACTTCACTAGATGTATGGATTGTGTCTATAGTGATGGCTACATAAATGAATATAGGCAATCTATGTGTTATATACCTATTTGTTTATATAAATATTTATATACATGAATATGCATGCATTAATATGTTGAAGTGTTAACAGATGCATAAACACCTACATGTGGATGTAAATATTCACAAGTGGCTGTATAAATGTACATATATGGACATCTATGCATGTGTACAGATAAAACACACAAAAGTCCATTTTACTTTATGTAAATTTAAAAGCTTTTACTGTCAAATTTGTATGCTTCTTGGCTGTAGCCATGTCTTATTGGTCAATGCTCGCTTATTAGATGCTCTGGTTATCTGCTGTACATGCTTTTGATGAATATCCATTGTTGGGGTAAGTTGTTTTTTTACTGTGTAAACATTAAATAGTTTAGGTTAGGTGATTTCTAGATTTGTTCGAACTCTGATATTTTAAGATTTTAATTCCTATTCTTGAATAAACTTAGCCTCTTAGCAAAGGTATAGGCTTTGTGATTTTTATCAGCAATGTGGAACAGATATTTTATTATCTAGAAACTACACATACTGTATGAAATGGTCAAGGTCCTCTTTAACACTGATTGAACTCCGGTTATGTGCTTTGGAATGCAGTAGAGGCTAATAATAAACAACAATCACATCCAGCAACTTCATGAGTTCTGAAGTGCACATGTACTCACATTTTAATATCTCTGATATGGGGACTTAATATCTCCGAATTCCATGGTGTTTTCCAACTCTCTGGTTTGTCATTTGGTTATCTATAGGATGTCAAGGAACTTTATCTGTTCATATGAAATTAAGTGGAGGACTGTGTCATCTTTTAAATCATTAGCCTCTTATTTTTTCTTAGTAATATAAAATAATGACACAATGCTCAATCCATATTTCTTAGCATTGGTAGAATATGCCATGAAGTCAGACAGGAAAAAAGGTTCTATCTCTACTCAGTCAAGTCTAAGAAGGCTTTTCAGAAGAACTGACATCTGAACAGAAATCTGAAATAGAAAAAAAACAATGTTTTTGAGGAATTGCCAATAGTTGCATTTGGGGACATCTTGGAGACAAGAATGAAAGAGAAACAAGTTCTCTACTACTAAGGAGGGTAGTCTTTATTCTGTAGGCAATGGGGAAAATGAGTAAGAATGACAGGTCAGACTTACATTTTAGAAAGTTTATTCTGAAGGAAAGCAAAGCATGGACTAGTTTGGAAGAGAGAAAAGCCAGGAAAACCAGTTAGAAGCAAGATATGATGAAGTCCTGTATATGTAATAACAAAACAGACAGAGAACAAGGGATACATTTCATATGCATTTAGAGTTTAAGGAATTTGTGGAATAAATGCATTTAAATGGCACAATGCCTTATTCCAAAGAAATGACTATCTCCTACAGCTCCCTTCAAGGTAAATAACATTTTAACAGACTTCAATTTTTCTAAGAATTGTTTTCTATGAAGACATTCTGGGACCCTCCAAGTTATTCCTGTAACATTTCCCTGGCACACATGACTAAAAAGGATCCAAACTTTTCTAAGTCTGGCATTATCAGTACCAATAATCTTGAATACATTAACAAAATATATAATTGAACTACAAATCCAGAGGGCTAGAGGCAACAATTCCAGAATGAATCTCCCAAACAGAAGACAAAAAGGGAAAGGCAACTACTGATACTGTGGCACAATGGCAAGGCAAGAAGATAACTGAAGATAAGAGTAAAATACTCACCCCAAAAATTTACAGACAAGTTTCACAATAGTCACTTAATTTTAATTTTCACATTTTCTGAACTTGGCTGATTTCTTAAAGAGAAATAAATTAAATTAAAATCCATTGGGTTTATCACAAAAGGATACTGTATGATTTCACTCACATGAGGTATCTACAGCAGTCAGATTTATAGAGACAGAAAAATAGTATGGCAGTGCCAAGAGCAGCAAGGAAAGGGAGTTTAAAGGGTACAAAGTGTCAGTTTGGGAAGATGAAAAAACTGCTTGCACACACTGTAAATGTACTTAATGTCACTGAATTATGTAACAAAAAAT